AATGTAGGGAAGGCACACTCACGAACGCCGTGTGCGGTGAGCGCCAAACAACATATTGCCCCCCCCCCCCCCCCCCAGAACAGGGACAAAAAGTTGGGGAAAGGACCGAAGTCCATTGCAAAGCTGTTTTACCAGCATAAAGAGGGCTTGGCCCCTTGGCGTAAGCACAAACTTTGACCGAAGTCGCGCATGTCAATGCATGTAAACGTCATACAAGCCGACGACAAATCCAGTCTTCGTGAATGTACGTCAATACGGTTTTGGGCATGTGTTAAAGATCAGGCACTCTGGCCCTATGATATATTAAGCCCTCCGTATGCGCCACCACTTTTGCCAGATCGCCGCGACTGCAGACGTGATTGTAAGTGTTTTGGCATCACCACCATTAAAAAGGTTAGCACGACATTTCGTCGCAGAGCGCGTTATGAGTCACTGCTCACCCCAAGGGTATGGTTAAAACGTTGCACGGCATCGCCGCAGCCTTGAGAGGTTTTCTCCCGCCAGCTACCATCCACATGAGGTAAACGCATATGCTCCACCAACCATTGAAATAGTCAGATATAGCCATAGTTGTGATTTTTATGTTTAGCCATCAGAAGGGTTTATAATTGGCAACATATATTTATTTGTCAGTGTCTCTGACGTTGAGTATAGTGTATTTTCGATCAAGTTTGTCTCACCCACCAGCAAGTTGCCATTATTCGTTCGAACGGTGGGAACTTTACTGAGATTCGTTAATAATGATAAAACGTATAAAGAGGTCAGACAGTCTGCAGTTCAGTCATCAGGAACCCGACTTGGACAAATCTACTGAGATGTGCATCAAACCGAGACGCAGACTCGGCCATTATGAATAGCGTCGTCTCCCAAGCAAATGTCTCAAGACGCAATGTCACTAAATGCAACATGCATCAATACAACTATCGCAGGTCAACAAGCCAACATACAGCCAATCCGCATACTCAGCAGACATCTTCACCTCGAACCTCCGTCAACCAGAATCATACGATGCAATGATATTAGGCGCAGATCACCCCGCAACTACCACAAGACGCATTACTGCATATAGCCGCACGAATCAATGTGACTATCGCGTAGGTGGCACACCCTCACATCACACCAATATAACTCCAATCAACTTCGGCTCCAAAGTTTAGAATATACTCGGAACACACGAAGTGTCCAAACATACTCTTTCACGATCCGAATGATAGTCGACGTATCATAGCGTAACCACTAAGACGCCAACCACTAACGGACCCCCACCCAAGCCAAGTAATAGCCAACGTATCATAGTGGAATACACTAAGACGCAAGCCACCACCAGACTCCCCAAAGTCAGATGATCAGTCGACGTATCATAGTGCAACACACTAAGACGCCAACTACCACCAAACTCTTACTATACCGAATGACAGCCAACGTATCATAGTGATGGTCACTAAGACGACAACTACCACCAGCTATCGATGATATGTCCAACACTGAAGACATATCCATTCATGGTTCCACGTTTACCGTAGACCATATCGTCGTACAGAAGTACCACGCAACTCCATAGTAATATCTCTTATAAAGTCCCAAGTCATTCATTGCTCTTCATTATATTTATTATTTTTTCTCTGAGCCTTCACATGTTATTACTTTTATCCATTAGACCTTACTTCCATATGATGTTCATACAATGTACTTTGACTATAGTACTAAGAGTCGCGATCGACCTCTGTACTTATATATGTACGATCATACAATTGTGTCCCCGCACGGTACATAATACTTCCCTTAGAAATCACTAAGTATGGAATTGTATTTAATTGACATAATAGTGATCGTATCTTGCTATATTTTTAAAAAATATCCTAAGTGATTTTTAACTATTTTTTATCAATTTTTGGTAATATCATTTTCTCATACTAACACTTATATTTCTTAAATTTAAGTATATATTATTAACTTTTATTGTGACTAAACGTTCTTAAACGTTTTATTTTCATCTTAATTGATCTTTATTATGACTAATTAATAATAATATTTATTATTATTAATAGGTCGTTACAATGGGTTCAGCTGCTACTTTTTACAGAATCTGTACTGTCTCTCACCCTTAAATATAACATATATTATTGTTATATTTAACACAGAAAAGGCGAGTTATTTATGTATAACTATATTCCCAAGTAGATATGGAGAATTATACACATATTATAAACATATGTCACGTGATCCTGATTTGTAGACATCGGAGTTTAAATTAAAACAAACGCGATAGATCTGAAAAATTAGTTTCATTTAACTTATTCAAAGATCAGCGTAAACTAAAACGTTTTATAATTTCGCGTTTCGTCCTATGAGTAATTAATGGATCTATTCAGTGGCTCACTGCATATTTACAAGCTGGTGGTGTCGCATGTTTGAATCATAAGAAGCCATAAGGTATGATGTTTTATACGGAATATAAAAATTACCTAATTATAGGTACGACCTCACAGAAGACCGGCGTGAAGTAGAAGTTTTACACTTCTGCGTTTAGTCTGGTGAGTGCGGTAGCCGGGGACAATTTTATTAAAAGGTGGCAACGCATCTGCAACCCTAAGGATGTTGCAAATATCCATGGGCGAAAGTTATCACTTAACATCAGGTTAACAATTCGTTTGCCAATTTCTCACATAAAAAAATATGTACAGAAGCATAGAGTACATCAAAAAGTACGCCGTTGCCAGATAAGTCTATCGAGTTTTCTCACGCTCCTTGGGCTAAAATTTTATGGGACCTAACTACAGAAAAAAATTGTACATAGTAACAAAATGTGCAACTAAATACGTAAGTACCATAAAGAAGTCGGTTAAAAAGGGGCTTTCCGTTATTGCATTTAAATGTCGCTATTTGACACGTAATACAAACTTTTGTCAATTCATCAAAAATGATGGGGCAATTAATAATACATTTCTGAGAAGGATCATCAAAACCAAAACATAATTTGCATACATTTATTAACATAATCTCACATTACCTTACCTAATATTCATTTATACATTTTAAAGAATACAAAAATATTTGTACACAGTTATTACAATAAAAATACAAAACTCCAGTAATTATAAGTACATATTTAAATAAATCACATTTTTATAAATACTTCGTCACAAAATGATAACGTTAATACTTAGCTGAAAATCATACGCAACTAATTAATAAATTTATAAATATTCTTTGGTTTTTAACTTGTGCATCAAAAGGAAATGATGTGATGGTGGGGTGTAGAAAAATAACATAAACAATCGATTGCACGTTTTATTAAATATAATTTGTTAAATGTTTTGTGGCAAGATATCTTTTTAATATAAAACATGCTATCTTCTATAAGATCACAAATTCAGGAGAGAATACTGTTAAACATGTAATAAAACAAATATTTATACACATAATTTTATATAACTTACATACATGCTTTGCTTACATATAAACACGTACAGTCCATAATACTAATTCCATCGGAAAATATTTTTCCAATAATCGGGGTCGAACTCACCCTCGCGACAGGTTTGCTAACCAGGGTTAAACTTAAACCGTTTGAACTTTTATTACATTGTTTACTATTAAAAAGTAAAGTAACATCCTATACATGTCCCACTGCTGGGCAAAGGCCGCCTCTGTACAAAGAGTATCAGGCCACAGTCCCACTGCGGATTGGTCGACTTCACATATTTTCGAAATACTTTTTTTTGTTACCTGAATTACTGTTTATTACCTGAATAGATTAACCAAATATAAAAAATTAAGGAATCATCTTATATTTAAAAATGTGTATTGAACAATTATAACACCAACGTTATAACTGAAGTGTGGAGTTTTCTACCTTAACGACTCCAGATATATTAATTCAGATCTAGAATTAAAAATAGTATCAAACACAAAATATCCATGCCTAGGACTCATCCTAAAGTCCTAACTTCACAGACGTTACTCATAACGTCTGTGAAGTTAGGACTTTACGTGAACTTTGTCTGATCACTCAATGAGTGTTTCTAATGAAGTTTATAATAAAATTTATTCATTTTAGTATTTGACTTTATCGTAGCATCATTTTAATATTTAAATTTCGGACATGCTACAATATAACCTTTATCGGATATTTATTTTACACATACATTATTATTTCTACTTAAACTTACAAGAAATCTTTGTGCCTTAAAAACTAAGTTGTACACACATCATTATACACATCAAAGATATATCTAATTAGTTTATTTTGTTCTACATATTATATTTAAAATCGTTATTAGTTTAAAAATATGATACAGAATACCGATCGTTGCATTTTTGCTTTCTTATTTAAAAATCAATCAAATTAGTTACGGTTTCTTTTGAAATTAACTCAGCTCATATGTCAGCGACTCGCCATCAAGAATCGTGCCATAAGTTTTTGCGTGACTTTTAATAATAATGTGACTCAAAAGTAGGTCTTAAAATGAACGAATGTCATTTCTTTTACATCAACACGTACGAGGTAAACTACAGGTGTTGCAAAATGCGTTTCGCGTTGTACCATTATTCGTTCAAATAATGTCTCTGCAAATCGAATTACCACATTTATTCTTCTTTATTCTGTAACTCACTTTTAGGAATTGTTTGAATTAGAAAGAAATGTTCGTATTTTTTATAATATTTTTTAGATAAATATTCTCATAGTGTTTTTTTTAACATAAATAGAAAAATACCATTATGTTACATAATAATTGCTTATTTTTAAAACCTTATACTATAATCAATATAATATATAATACATGCGGCCTTTGTTGCGATCTCCCTTAAACATACTGTGGATTATACAGCCAGTATAATCCATAGTACACTAAACGAGACAACGCATTCCCCGTAAGTAAATACATTTCCAACTCGAAAACGTTACACAATCGTGCCCGTTACGGTCCCGTCTCGTCACGTGTGGTGTATTAAAGCATGACGTCGTCGGCGGGTACATAAGCGGGCATCCGCTGTCAGTCGCGCGATGAAATCATGACCAGGAGCTGAGTACGGCGATTGTCGGGTTGCCCTCGCGATATACTGTTGCTGCGAGTACGATTCAATACCTGGAATATAAAAATATATAATATATATCACTACATAGTATAAAACAAGGACGTCCCGCTGTCTGTCTGTGCCTTTGTATTCTTAGATCTTTAAAACTACGCAACGGATCTTGATGTTTTTTTTACTAGATAGAGTAATTCAAGAGGAAGTTTTATATGTATAATACATTAAACCAGTGCGAAGCCGGGGTGGGTCACTAGTAATAAATAAATAAATGTTTTAGGACACATTATTACACAACGTTCTCTAGTCGCAAACTAAGCAACACTTGTACTATGGGTACTAGATAACTGGTAAACATACTTTTCTTTTATAAATAAATACAAACTATCGATAAACACCGGACATCGAAAAAGAACTATGCTATTTACACAATATTTTTCCAGTAGTGGGGTACCCTCTGGCGCAAGAGCCACTACGCCAATCGGGTCTTCATAAATAATCATTACGTTATGTAAACAAATATACAGTCGGGTGGCTAATGTTCGCGATTACACAGTTTAACTGAGATAGAAAAAAATGAATAGTGTAAAGCCCTATGCTATCTATATAATTTTTCTATATGAGAAAGTGGCAAACAAGCCGGCGGTTCACCTTGATGCTAATTGAAGACCGTCGGACATGGATATTGGCAGAAGCGTTGCCACCTTTTTATGTGAGAAAGTGGCAAACGAGCTGGCGGTTCACCTGATGTTAAGTGATAACCAACCCATGGACATTTGCAATACCCTTAGGGTTGCAGATGCGTTGCAACTTCTTAATGAAGCGGAGCCGGCTACTTCACTCACCAGACGAAACGCAGAAGATCGTGGTACTTCCCCGGATGGACCTGCCCATTCCTGGAACAGCGAAGACTGTTGCATGGCCCTACCACGGCACTATAAATTGAATATCGTCGTAAGCCCGGCGCGAGTCAAGAATTCATTTAGTTACTGTGCTCAGCAATGGATGTAGGTTACGAATACACGAGTATGGTAAACATAAAGAAGAATCCTTGTCTTAAATAAATAAAATGTGTAAATGATCGTGACGCGAACCACGGTCGTCTGTTTTGGGGCCGCCCGATTACCGACCGAGCTATTTTGACATTTTCTTTTGACATTGCGGCGAAATTTACCGTCATATTCGAATTATATTTTTCATTCCCTGAAAACAGGGATAAAAGGACATTTTCTAAAAATGAAACCTAGCTAGATCGATTTTTCGCCCCCGAATCTATGCACATACTAAATTTCATGAAAATCGCTGGAGCCGTTTCCGAGATTCCGATTATATATATATACAAGAATTGCTCGTTTAAAGGATTAAAGATAAGATGTGCCGTAGTTTTGATCAAGAGTGAAGAACATGTTATATTTATCTGCTTATCAAAGAATTCTGAAATCTGTATATTAGAAATTTAAATTGTTTATAGTGCTAATCTTTGCACTTAAGATTGTACATTAAAATATGTAGAAAAAGTGCGAAAAGATTGTCGCCGCTGTGGGAATCGAACCCACGTCTTCGGCATTCGCGGCCTGATGCTCTAGCCACTGAGCTAAACGGCTGATGACCACACCGACGAAAATCTTAACGCATTCCTCTACATTGTTTTCTTAGCATTTGAAGCAATGCTTGGCGCCATCTATTGTTATATCCTTTCCAGCATACAAACAATTTCGAATTTCGTTTTACAACGATAATTCGAACGAGAGATGTCGCCATTGCTTTTTTAGAAATTTAAATTGTTTATAGTGCTAATCTTTGCACTTAAGATTGTACATTAAAATATGTAGAAAAAGTGCGAAAAGATTGTCGCCGCTGTGGGAATCGAACCCACGTCTTCGGCATTCGCGGCCTGATGCTCTAGCCACTGAGCTAAACGGCTGATGACCACACCGACGAAAATCTTAACGCATTCCTCTACAGTGTTTTTTCTTAGCATTTGAAGCAATGCTTGGCGCCATCTATTGTTATATCCTTTCCAGCATACAAACAATTTCGAATTTCGTTTTACAACGATAATTCGAACGAGAGATGTCGCCATTGCTTTTTTAGAAATTTAAATTGTTTATAGTGCTAATCTTTGCACTTAAGATTGTACATTAAAATATGTAGAAAAAAGTGCGAAAAGATTGTCGCCGCTGTGGGAATCGAACCCACGTCTTCGGCATTCGCGGCCTGATGCTCTAGCCACTGAGCTAAACGGCTGATGACCACACCGACGAAAATCTTAACGCATTCCTCTACATTGTTTTCTTAGCATTTGAAGCAATGCTTGGCGCCATCTATTGTTATATCCTTTCCAGCATACAAACAATTTCGAATTTCGTTTTACAACGATAATTCGAACGAGAGATGTCGCCATTGCTTTTTTAGAAATTTAAATTGTTTATAGTGCTAATCTTTGCACTTAAGATTGTACATTAAAATATGTAGAAAAAGTGCGAAAAGATTGTCGCCGCTGTGGGAATCGAACCCACGTCTTCGGCATTCGCGGCCTGATGCTCTAGCCACTGAGCTAAACGGCTGATGACCACACCGACGAAAATCTTAACGCATTCCTCTACATTGTTTTCTTAGCATTTGAAGCAATGCTTGGCGCCATCTATTGTTATATCCTTTCCAGCATACAAACAATTTCGAATTTCGTTTTACAACGATAATTCGAACGAGAGATGTCGCCATTGCTTTTTTAGAAATTTAAATTGTTTATAGTGCTAATCTTTGCACTTAAGATTGTACATTAAAATATGTAGAAAAAGTGCGAAAAGATTGTCGCCGCTGTGGGAATCGAACCCACGTCTTCGGCATTCGCGGCCTGATGCTCTAGCCACTGAGCTAAACGGCTGATGACCACACCGACGAAAATCTTAACGCATTCCTCTACATTGTTTTCTTAGCATTTGAAGCAATGCTTGGCGCCATCTATTATCGTTGTAAAACGAAATTCGAAATTGTTTGTATGCTGGAAAGGATATAACAATAGATGGCGCCAAGCATTGCTTCAAATGCTAAGAAAACAATGTAGAGGAATGCGTTAAGATTTTCGTCGGTGTGGTCATCAGCCGTTTAGCTCAGTGGCTAGAGCATCAGGCCGCGAATGCCGAAGACGTGGGTTCGATTCCCACAGCGGCGACAATCTTTTCGCACTTTTTCTACATATTTTAATGTACAATCTTAAGTGCAAAGATTAGCACTATAAACAATTTAAATTTCTAAAAAAGCAATGGCGACATCTCTCGTTCGAATTATCGTTGTAAAACGAAATTCGAAATTGTTTGTATGCTGGAAAGGATATAACAATAGATGGCGCCAAGCATTGCTTCAAATGCTAAGAAAACAATGTAGAGGAATGCGTTAAGATTTTCGTCGGTGTGGTCATCAGCCGTTTAGCTCAGTGGCTAGAGCATCAGGCCGCGAATGCCGAAGACGTGGGTTCGATTCCCACAGCGGCGACAATCTTTTCGCACTTTTTCTACATATTTTAATCTGTATATTAATCTAATATATATCTTTAACAGAACCGTGATAGCTCAGTGTCCGGGCGCTCGCGCTTTAATTCAATATACTCGAGCAATCTGAGTTCGATCCCCGGTGCCGACACCAATGAAGTTTTTAACTTTAAGTGCTGACTTATCACGTGCTCCGCGGTGAAGGAAAACATCGTGAGGAAACCTGCATATTTTCGAAATTATAACAAAAAAAAATATATTTCGAAAATATGTGAAGTCCGCCAATCCGCAGTGGGGCCGCGTGGTGGACTATGCCCTGATACCTTCTGTATAGAGGAGGCCTTTGCCTAGCAGTGGGACATGTATAGGCTGTAACTTTACTTTTTTATCTCTAACTATATATAAATAACTAATCTCTAGATTTCATTTATGTTCATTGTCACGACGGGATGGCCATACTTTCTGTGTGACCTAAAGGTTAACCTAAATAAAGAATTAAGATCTTTTAGTAAAAAAAATACTAAAATGCCATTCTATGAACGGTGAATGTTTAAAAATTAATAAACTCGCCTGTTGTTATCTGCTAGTTTTTTAACGCTGATGCGAGCAGATATTTACCTAACTAAGTAATTAATCTTAAATTATCTACCACATGCGGTAATTTTGTTTTATATTATATTCAATTAGTAAATCAACATTAGAAAAGTGTTCGGGTCAGGAATCTAACAAAGTGAATTCGACTACTAATGCCGGTTTGGATTTATGTGCAGATTTACCATGTGACCGACGTGCCGTAAGTAAGACATCATAAAAATGCCTGCATATCTTAGAACTAACAAGCACTGGGGGAAAGTCGCGCACTACCTTTGAAATGAGGAGAACTTTGGCCAGAGAGTTACATATTATATCTGTAGAGTATAATCTGCTATGTAATGCTATGATGTGCCATGCAGTGGGACATCATAATAAGCCTTTTGTTTTTTTTTAGTTATTGTATTAAGGAAAATATATTTACGGTTGCGACAGAGTGCGAGCGTCTCGCGTGGGTCGAACTGAGGAGGTCGGAGTTTGCGGTGGAGTCGGAGCGGGAACGCAGGGTTCCACGTGCGTGTCGTTTGTGCGGCCTTCCGCACCACAGCCATCGGTAAGGGGGTACACGTCTGCAAATATTGCAACTTCTGCTGATATCTGTACAAGTATTATTATTACACAAACTTGTAGAAAATAGAAGCAAGCAATATGGACGTGACGCCTGTCCGCCTTGCCTATCTGCAGTGGTTTACGACTGTTCTCATTGTGGGCAGTCTTGTCGGTCCAGATTTTAACGACTGTTTAATCACTATAGAGAGTTTCTTCTATCATACATATATCATCTGTCACAGATGTGAAGACCTATCAAGCTATTATTTACAAGAAAAGAACAAATACACAAAAACTCGTACTGAAAAATGGAAAAACAACAACCAACGCGTTTAGATCTTCAGTGTACTTAAAGCTTTAATTTTGCTTCAGATCTATCAAGTATAAACCGCAAATTAAACTGATTTAAAAAATGTCTCTTTTAGACTCAAGCTTCGGTTTCAATAAGATTTACATTAAGCAACGAAAGATGTCATCATCATTTTACAGAAATCAAGACACATCCCCATTAACGATACGCTGATGTTAAGTTATAACCGCTACTCATGGACGTGTAAAAAACCCGACGGGTAGCAGACGCGTTTACTTGTAAAAAACGTGGGTCCCGGCTGCCACACTTACCGGATGAAATGCGAAATTACGATATATCCACTTCGTTTATCTGATTTTATTATTTTTTTTTATGTGAAAAGTTACCACGCGAGCAGACGGTTCACCTGATGTTAAGTGAATACCGCCGTCCATAGACATCTGCTACACCCGAGCGTTCCAGATGCGTTGACAATTCCAGATGAATTGACCTTTTGAAAATTGGGCTCCGGCTACCTCACTCACCAGACAAAACCCAATAGTATTATAGATCTAATTCACGCCTGCCTTCTGTGAGGTGTCACCCGGACGAGCCTGCCCATTCGTGCAACAACCGAGACTGCTGCGTGGCCCTACCATTAAAGCTAAGAGATAAATATAAGATATTTTATATTACCTCAAACTGGAATATATATGCGGAGAAAACATGCAGCATATCAGAGGGTTGGCAGCGGAATTCAGCGGTGCCAGGCTCTGGATAAGAGTGGCGATGGCCAAATTGGTCTGCGTAGGCGGGATGTGGTTGTAAACTTGCAACAGGTCGAACACGATGTACGGCGACCAGCATAGGACGAACACTGTTGGGAAACATAGAAAGTAAGGCAGTAATATAAATAGCTTCAATGATGGTCATCATTGAAGCTATTTCTATGATGACCATCACCGTGGCGCTGTTTTCAAGGTATTGGCTTTGAATTCGGGAGTTGTGGGTTCTTTTCCCACACGAGATAACTATTTCTGTCTATGTGACAACTATTTGTATTGTCTACGTGACATTCGTTCATGTAAAACGTCCCTACACACAGGATAATAATGGTTATGGATTGGCTGGTGGTTGGGTTTTTTATGACCAGTCACATGCCTGACGTCAAATTACTTTGGGAATAAACGGTTAGATATAGATTAATTATCTGTGAGTCACACAAATACTTGCCCCGTGTAGCAATCGATCCCAAAACCGGCTCTGAAGCCTAGTATTCCAACTTTTTCCTCGTCGACTTTAAAACTCTAATTCGAACAGGGTAATTACAGATCATCTGTATTTTATAACAATTAATATTCTCAACGTATATAATGTAACTCAATTAATATAATAACCCATATAACCCATGTATCATTGAGACCTTACAGAAAAGATAAAAATAGTTTAGTAGATATAAACAGGAGTAAACAAGGACATTTGATTGGATTAAGGTGATTTATTAAAACATATAAATTTTAAATTTAAGAGTCATAGGCGACGTTTCGCTATCTTTACATAAAATAGTTTTTTTAATCTATTACTGCCATCAAGCGAAAACCTGGTTGTAAAAGACACCATGCACCCGGCCATGTAATGATTATTCTTCTCTTAAGCAAACGTTAAAAAAACGCAATGTGGAACCTGAAGAATAACCTCTAAGAAATAAGTGAACAAGTCTATTTTTGTTAATTTTTATTACCTTGTATTTATAGTTAGAAGCGCAAGGAACTGGGGTGAAATACTATACATACCTAAACGTAATTCTTGCCTGTTAGGTAATATTTGATGTTGTATTTTGAAATCTTAAAAAGTAAAAAAAAATGTTTTACTTGATGACGAAGTGGCCTTTCTAGTGGTTTTAAATTAGCATTAAATAACTTTTATTTATTTCAAATTTGTTAAAGAACGAAATGTTTTTACGAAATGTTGTAAAACAAGGACGACGAATAAAAATCACGAGAAAACATCAAAGGCACCGAATATTTTATAGATCTTCAAATTAATAAATGTCGGAAATAAAGAATCTTTTTGAAAATAACAACAAAGTGAAATAAAACGAACGCAACAAAATATCGTAAAATCTTTATGACTCGCGTAAAAGAAGAATCCAAATATAAAATTAACGTAAATAAAAATAGGCAGGAAATGATGCGTTAAGTCGATCCAAAAATATTTTGATCTTGAACTATAACAAGGTCGGTTGTTATTGATACTGAAATGTGGGACGTTAGGCGTGTTTCTCGAATGTAAGTCTTGTGCAAGAATCGTAAACGTGCTTCCTGTGAACAGTTAACAATCGAATTATTTATTAATGATTCCTAACATTATATATTAATTCCAAATATTTTCGCATTTTGTATTGTTGAAAGATAACACTACAATTATTTTGTTAACATCTAATTTTTTAGACTCAAAATGAACTGTTTTTGTGCAAAAGTTTTTTGAACCCAACTTTGCACGCCTATCAAAGAGGCAGAATAAGTGTATTAGATTTAATACCATTATGTTATACCTTATTCTTGCAAGTAAAATAAATAAAATAAAATAAGAAAAGAAATAAATAAAATAAAAAGTATAAACTATTGTACATTTGGAACATATGTATAATTGATGAAAAATTTAATTATTTTATGACGGTAAACACTTTTTTAGATAATTACTAAGATTATCATTTTTACATATATATAAGAAATAAATACCTACTATCAGTATACGAACATTTTAAAATTATAATGTGCATACTATACACTATTGGTAGCGAAATACGACTAAACTATATAAATTGTAAGATCTTTTACCGTACTCCTTACAAATAAAAGTTTATGATTTGTGTTTAAAATAGGATATTTTATGGCGTTACCAAAATTGTAGATATGGTTGTTAGTAGTGTTAAACTACTAATTGTACCAATTAGTACTTTAACACTTATATTCAAATACACAATTACCTTACTACTACGTCTAACATTAAATTCGCCTAAAACGTTGTGGTTTGAAAATGTTGGAATGAGGAAGGCGTGCGCATGAAGGAATGTCGTAAGTCGCATACATACTAAGTTTATTCTATCTTGTACATTTGCTCTTCACAGCATTTAGTTCTGGTTTAATTAAAAGGTCTTGGAAATATTGCCGCGTACGTGAATTATTGTTCCACAATTTTTATATCCCCACTTCTTCTATCATACTACATCCTGACGAAATGTAAAATACTATAGACATTCCTTTTCGGTTGGCAGTTCATGCTCTCCTAAGTATACTTTTGGAATTTAGCGGAGTCAATTATTGACTTTCAAAAAGAGAATGTTCTGAAAAGAAACAGAATGGCGGATACATCTTTTTTAACTTTCTGAGGTTATGGCTGTCCACGAAACATGACCACTAATCGTTTAGTGAAGTTGTCTGCGTTATTTTCACTCTCTTTTTGTATTAAAACCTGATGTCAGTTGCACAAAGAAAAGAAACAGTCAAGGAGCGACGTCACCCCTTTGTAAAAGAGGGCATCGGTACGTTTAGAAACTTCGCCAAATGTTCTTCATGTGGCAGGTGTGAAGAGAAGCTTGTCACTAGTTTTGAAGGTCCTAATGGCAGTGGATGGTGGTGTTGTAGAAGTTGATTTAAATGGCTATTTGTTGGCTAATCATCGAAAATCATGTCTTATGCGATCAAATACCACAAGTACAATGTTGTTCGCAGTTTTTATTTATTTATTTAAATGCTTTTTGCACAATAGCGTACAATGGCGCACTTAACACCATTTGGTATTCTCTACTAGTCCATCGACATATAAATAGAGAAAATAAGCCGGTGCGAAAGAGCCAAATGAGAAGTAGTGAAAAATAATATTACTTTATATAGAATATTTCATACCTATATATATACACGTGTATACATGCATATATATGTATATATATAGGTATGAAATATTCTACCGTTCTTTTATTCTTATATTCTTCTTATTAGTATTAATATCCATTTATCTTACGACAAATCTTGCGATTAAACTAGCCACTCCATAACTTTTCAACCGTACCAAACACGATGACGAACGTCATTTTGACACTTTTGATCTTGGCCCTCGGTATTAGCCCTCGAGAACTGGCACGTCTAGAGTCGGGATCGCATTCTGCTTGTCCTGTAGAATTACACTTTTTTGAGTATACATTGTATTTTTAAGTATACATTGTATTTTCGAAATAGATAAAAAAAATTTCTGCACATAATCGGCGTAAGGAAACATTATTTTTAGTAGAGCCCAGAATATTGAAATAATTACAAAACATGACTTTCTAACAAAATTAATTTAAAAGATAATCTTGGCTTATGCTTTTATAAGACGTAGGTTGGTAGAAATTTATATCTTATTCAATTAATTTTCTATTTTCGACTACTTTTTCTATGAGTTACAGCAAAAAGTCTTACGCCGATATATGGTTTTTTGATTATATTCCACTCATTATCCGTATCATGGTATGGTATTATAAGTATGAGGAATAGAAGTCGATTTCTAGACAGGTCTTTTACTAATATAGCACAAGCAAGTATGTTCTTGATAGCACCATCTTGAAGGCCGTTGAAGCATCAGCAATAACTGTGCTGTTGCAGGTTGCAATGGATTGTGATGATCCCTTACCACTAGGTGAACTGCGTGATCTTCTCTTATATAAAAAAGATATGATCAAAGTCCCTACAAAATATGCTATGAATCTTAAAAAGCGCTAAAAATCATTAGCTCATGAATAACAAGAACTAAAGATAAACCATTATTATTATTATAAGGATTTATATGATACAATTTTAATTTGCTCCAAATGATGCATACCGTTCCTCATAGTTTTAGATCTTCGAGAATTGATAGGCGGACTCATTACGACGGCCTTGCTTTTAGTCCAGATTGTCAACACTATGACAGCATAACATGCAGCAATAGCCAATGCTGGCAGAACAAAGATCATAACTGAGACCAAGGACATCCATATTTGCCATCGTCGTGGAGTGCCCAAGTCTATCCAGCACTGCATCTGCCCTGGAATCAGATTACGATGATAATTAATAAATACAAAAGTATATCAGAACTATATTTATAATATATGTCTAATACATACAGCGTGTCGTTACAACCGCGACAATAAATGAACACACGTCTAACGCTACTTGCCAAAATCGAAAATTAAAAAAAAAATATTTTTCAAACAATGTAATTAAAAAAGTAAAAGTAAAGTAACAGCCTGTACATGTCCCACTGCTGGGCAAAGGCCTCCTCTATACAGAGGGTATCAGGGCACAGTCCACCACGCGGCCTCACTGCGGATTGGCGGACTTCACATCTTCGAAAAATATTTTTTTTTGTTATTATTTCGAAAATATGCAGGTATCCTTAGGATGTTTTCCTTCACCGCGGAGCACGTGATAATTCAACACTTAAAGTTAAAAACTTCATTGGTGCCGGCACCGGGGATCGAACTCAGGTTGCTCGAGTATATATTGAATTAAAGGCGAGCGCCCGGACACTGAGCTATCACGGCTCACAAACTAATTAAATAAAAATTAAACAAAATTTGTAACATCCTATACAACTAAAACGACTGATTCATACATTGAGAGACTTTTTCATTCGTTACCACAGCGTCGCATTACAAATGTTTATCTCTTTTAAATTCATTCCATTCATATGCTTTGTGACCTTTACAAATGAACTTTACGTTACAGTTTTATACGTAAGGTGTTTTAAAAGGTTGTTCTAAAATTCTTTGTTTTGGAAATTTTAATAACTAAAATATTGATGTTTAAAGAATGTAAATGTTTAATACAATTTTAAAAAAGTTATCCTGAATATATGTGTTCATTTATTGTCGCGGTTGTAACGACACGCTGTATATTACATTTTACCTTGTACTTCTTTCACTTCGTACAAAACAAGCAATGGAATTGAGAACATTATGCTGATGATCCATGCCGAAACTATAAGGCCTCTTGCACGGTTCCCTGAAATAAACAAAAATAAATAAGAATGTCGTAAAATCAGTAATTAAAAGAACATATCTATCTATCATATAAATCTTTAAAAATATCCAAGCATCATTATATATATGCTGTTAAAATAACTATTCAATCACTATGTTTCTTTTTTCGACAAAAAAGGGAGGGAATTATGAATGAAAACATTTTATCGTTGAGTTAGCGTGGGTTGTAAATGTGTCTAAGCTTACCAATTCAATTCGATCAGTAAATCAAAATGAAAGAAAAAATATTTCAAAAGACTAATTCCTTTCAAATATTTTTTCTCTTCATATTGTTTTTGTCACTTAATTGAACGTGAAAAATTTGCAAACTTATTCCATTAAAAAAAATAATTAATATCTAATATTTGGAATAAATAATCAAGTATTTTTTTATCTTGTAATAAAATGTAATGTAATTTAATATTGGTTAAAATAACTTGGGCAATGAATTGTTTTGTTCAACATATCACAATTTTCGACTTTGTATAACTCGAGAGTAAGAATATTATATTCGGATATCATGAGTTGTGTGCAAAACAAAAGTCAATATTTCACTGAATTTTAAAAGAAGTTGGAAAAACAGTTATACAGTTATACAGTAACAAGGAACAGTTATACAGTTTACTTACAGCTGCCAGAGAAGTTCATCGGATTTGTTATAGCATCACATCGGTCAATACTCAATGCCACCAGGACATAAGTAGATGCGTACATTACCACAGCCTGTAACAAAAACTAAATTTATATTGATCCTACAAATTGATGATCTCATCAAAAACATTTTAAATAATATATGTTTCCTCTGTCATAGATTAAAAGTGTGGAGGATTGAACTTTCTACTGTAATTATGCTTTATTTGTTATCATAAAAGTTTTATTGCTGATCTCAAACATCAAATTGATTAAGCTTATCAAACGCTCTGATCTACAAGAAATAATATACAAATAATATGAAGCAGGCTTGATACGAAGTAAATAAAATTATTCGATCTACTAGCGTTTTATTATAAATTTCTCTGAGCTTAAATTGATCTAGGTTAAGTGCTAACTTGCGCTTAACGTCCTTGATATCAAGGATGACAACCAAGGAGCTAATGCAAATGAGAACATGATCGCGTCGCATTAATTATGAGGCAAAATCACAAACTTATATCATTAGGGCAGTCTTTGTACGAAACGACCCTCTCGGACCTTGCCTTCGGGTGCTTAACTTTGATAAGTATTTTCCAATATCAACATTTACTTATTTCAATTTGCATTCGATTAAAAAACTTTGTGTTCGATAGCATCTGCATATAAAACGCGACGGGTTTGGACGATTTACAGAAAACTGAAAACTTAAAACATTTTATTTACAACAAAAAGCACTACAAAGAAATAGACAAATTGAAAATGCATGCTCAATAGGTAAGTTTTGTGATATTGAAATTGGTTACGTAATATGAAATAAAACTTCTTTTTTATTTGGTTATTTAAGAAGTGACAGGCATGGTTTTATTGTTCATATAGAATCACAAGATTAGCTGACGCGAGCCAAAATCTTATATAATTTGGTTGATTAATGATAACAGTCAACAACATATGTTCATCATGTTATAGGTCGATGAAAATAAATATTGTTTCATTAAACATTTATATAAAATGTAAATTTATGTAAAAAATTGTCAATGATTATTCTACAAAAAAATAAAAAGAAAAACTGCTAACAGAAGTGAAAACGAAAACTGAAATAACCGTTTTTTTTTTTAATAAATAATCAATACAAAAAAATGTATACACGTATATATAAATATAATCTAAATACTATCGAGCAACTATAAATTTGTTTTATAGAGAACAATTATTGGTTTTAGAAATACAACGATATCAAAAATTTGACATCACCAACGTCAATGACAAAACTCGCGACATTTTACATTACAAAAATTCTAATTTAAATTTTGTCTCGTCATGAGTCATAAATATTGTTTCAGAATAGTGTTTTATTAGAGCCTTTCGAGTGAGGACTCAACCATGTAAAGGAATTGAGCTCAAAGGAATCGACAAATTGCGATAATCCAGGGGCTTGTTTCACTTACGTCACGTTTCCGGTTAAAGTTAATTTGAAAACTAATGGCGGTAAGCGTTTTACAGTTCGATGTTATTCACGAACCGGACAGCGGAATGCCTGTCTCAAACACGTTGCAATTGAAACGGCAGTGTCGTTGATTGCGTGGAAAATCTAATTTAAAATCGCAGCAACTGCTACCGGATATTCCGTTATAACTTTTTTGAATTTCACCCTCCATTCATTGAAATACAATAAGTAATTAAAATTGACTTCTTTTTGAGAGGCGTGGTCGCCGTATATAAACGTCATATGTCTCGATGTGATTTTCAATAGCCAACTTTTACATTTGAAGTAAAAATTCAACTTACCTGAAGGAACTTAACGATTTTACACATAAACTCTCCAGCCAGCCAAGCTATTGTTATTTTTTGAACGATGTCAATAAAGACATAAATCAATCCCACAAACAGATCTGAAACAAAATGCTCTCTTAGTATTCATACTGAAATATCATTAAGTGTCACTATTTTTTTTATTTAAAGAATTGCCTAAAGGAACACAGTTTTTTTTATTGATTTACAATTTGTCGCTATGCGACATATGCTATATGATCCAAAATAATATAGGTAGTTGTTAGCTCTTATCTCTCATAGTAGAAAAAGATATTTATAAATTATTATAACTTATTTAAGTTGTACAATTTGAAAAGAAAACTAAATGATCTTGAAAATTAAAATCGGCATATCTAAATCTTATAGAAAAAAATTCAAAAATGATAACTGTATCATATATTGTAACGATATCACCAAATTTTTATATTAAATACTCTTCGCAGTTCTATATTAATTCTAGTTTAACCAATACCCTTATACGAGTAGATGAACTGATTATATGAACAAGAATAAAAAAGCTCTTCGCGGTGGCGAATAATTTATTGCAGCATTTGAATGATCTCATTTCAATACTCTTCCATAATTTTTGCTTCTATGGTTTAATGTTTGTTTCTTGATTTAGGTGGAACTAAAATATTAAGTTAACTCAACTTCTACAATTAAATTTATCAAAAGATCGTTTAATCTGTACAAATTAATCGGTTGCAATTTCATTCTAACATTCTCGAGCTGAACCGGTGGAATAATTTCTCATTAACGCTCTCGCTTAATAGATTTAGTTCTTCTCGACGTTGTAATTTCATTAACTTGGCACGTTTTAATGGGCCATAATCATTTCTTTGGCCCAATGGAGGTGAACGATCTCTAATAAATATCTGCCTAACAAGAGATTCGGATACAAAATTATACGTTCAGCCTACGCTCGGCATTTTTATAGCTAGAAAACTGCATAATGGCAATAAGAAAAGTGGTGGTATTAAATCTTTGGTAGTAAATGTTGTCTTAAATTGTTTTAAAGTAGTACTCAATATAAATTATCTAGATTTATGACGAATAAATCTAGATCATTTCAATCTTGATTTATTCGCCGTGAATCAAGATCATCTATATAAATTTTTTCTTATTCGCATTTTCGGTGGAAAGTTTTTAAAATGATATGTCTGAATGAATTAGTCCATGAGTAAACCTTTTGAGTGATTGCTCATGGACATTCAACGCCTGTGTGGTTGCAGATGCATTGCCAACTTTTGTAGGTTTGCGTTTACCACGGTTTACCACACTCACCAGTTTAAATGCAAAAGCATTAGACTTCTTCACGCCGATCTTAGCAATCTTGGCATAATCTACTTACTTCCCCGAACAACCCTGCCCTTTCGTCCAAAAGCTGAAGCCGTCGTGTGGTCCCAGCACAGGAAAAGTATAGAATATATCTTTCAACATGTGCTATAGAGCTCTAATGGTATTCTTTCAATTATTCTTTTGAAAAACACTCTGAAGTGGGACATTGTTATTCAGGTAACGCGGTTAGCGTACTTGGCATGCTGCCGGGTGTAAAAGATAACAATTGGATAACCAATTTGATAAATCGAAATATACTCAATAAATGTGTGGCGTGAATTTTAAAGAAGTACATTCATAAATTTCATTTTTTAAACTATTTTGTAGTTTCAAACGTACTTCCATTCGGTAAAAAAACTATAAAAGCTAAGATATTCATAGATAGTAATGCGACGGTGTGTGATAAGACGACAAAAATCGATGCTATATTGATTCCTATTTATCAGTGTTGTGCGGTTGATGAAGTGAATACCTTACATGGTATCGTTGTCTGTCGCTCAGACGTTACAGGTAACGAATTAAAAACAAACAAATAAGTTTTCTCTTTGTAAAGTATTAGTATTTTTGAAGCAACGTGGTATACGAGCAGTCAGTTAACCTGACGCTAGTCGACTACTATCGCCTATTACATCAGTAGGATTTCAATGGCGCCTCATCTAGAAGACGGTGAACCACCTTTATCGCACTCACCAGTCTTAAGAGTATAAATACTAATGTACGCCACTTCTGTAAATCGGTGGTTTTCTAGCCGGATAATCTTCCCCAAATATACAACAGCAGAAGTGCTATGACAAGTATTATAGTTACGTGTGAATCTACGTTTCTTGAACATTATGCGTCGTTTCTAATTCACGCTAGTTATACGCAATGTTTTAGCTGTATTCATCTATAAATCGAGTAAAATTTTACTGATTATCGTCTTTCGCTATAAGTAGCAGTGATTGATAATTCCCAAAATAGTTCTGAAGCGGAACCGACACATGTTTTATTACACTCACTTCTTGAAATAAACGTAACGTTTACGTAGCTAGTGAATCACATAAATCGCAGCTTATTTACTCATTCTACAAAAAAATCATGCGAATTTTCATTCTGAACATTATTACAAGGGCGTACGGTTCAAATTGCTGTAGAAAATTTCTTTAAATATTACATATGTAGAAGTTTACCGTGGAAAAATAGTAAACCTCACCCGTTTATTTATGGTTACGTTGTTTGGATACTCAGGCGTTACCTCATTTCTGATAAAACATAAAAAAGGTTGTATTGATAGATAAACGGTATGCGCGATGAAAATTTGTTTTCACGCAAGTGGAATCTTTTCAATTTAAAATTGACATCATACAACTTCATTTATTAAGCTTTTTGAAGTTACACTTCTTATGGCGCGTTTTGAAAAAAAATATTAGAGTAAAATTTTTACGATGCGCGCGCTCACCGACTGCCAAAAAGCTACATGAAGTTGGTAGCAATGCGACCAACTTGAAGATGTTCAGATTATTACAGCATGTTTGATTAAAAGCAACAAATTTTTGTTCATCATCATCATCATCATCAGCCGCAAGACGTCCACTGTTGAACATAGGCCTCCCCCTTAATGTCCCCTTGTATCATAAATTTTTGTTATTTACCTATAATTACATGTTATTTAGTCAAACCGTTATCAATTGCATTTAATGTGTTTTATAAACAAAGAGCACTGACTGGTATAGGGGATACAATTTTTATTAATATTTCTTTTGTTACGAGCGTACACACTACATACATACGTATTTTTTTAAACCAGTAGTGCCATTATTTATATTCTTTATTTTCTCACCACAGTATGTATCACAATAGCATTTCAAAAGGTGGATGTACAAATTAATTTTCATATTGTGGGAGACTGATGCACCAAAACTAAGCTCAAGGCTTGTATTATTGGGTCATCAGGTCCCCTCTCCTTATAAATTTGACAATGTGTTTGCAATTTAAAGCGTATCTTTCAAAGACATTTACAATTTCCATTCTAAAATGAGAGTTAATGAGAACATAAAGATTACTGTTAATAAGTGAACATGCATATAAATTTAAATTAAATCTAACACTTAAACCACTATCATACGTGCTGGTGTTCGTGTGTGCGTGTGTGTGCGTGTGTGTGCGTGAGTGTGCGTGTGTGTGCGTTTGCGTGTGCGTGAGCGTGCGCGTGCGCGTGCGTGTGCGTGTGCGTGTGGGTGTGCGTGTGCGTGTGCGTGTGCATGTGCACGTGCACGTGTACATATGTTTTTGGAATGTCAATATCACAATTGTGGTAAACTTGCTTAGTCTACAGTAAAATTCTCTTAGCCAATACTTAATTAAACAATACATAAACTACAAAAGCTCAATGTTATAAATAATGATAAACAAAATGTTATAAATAATGATAAACAAAAAGTACTCAATTGTAATGTTCTACAATGTAGTTCAAAGAAGACAACAATGATTAAATAGAAAGCTTACGATTGGACAAATTTGTTATCCATAATGAGCTTTGAGAACCAGTTGATACGTATTCAGTAAGTGTATTTGATTTAAAAGGAAAGTACCTAACAGCCTATACATGGTCCAGTACTGGTCAAAGGCCTCCTCTATACAGAGAGTATTAAGGCATAGTTCCCCACGCTACCCCTCTGACTTCGCATATCTTCAAAACATATTTTTATTAAAATTTTGAAAATGTTCTCACGATGCTTGACTTTCACCGCTGAGCGCTTGATAAATCTGCCAATGCGGGTTGGCAGATTTCACATACATATCTTCAAAACATAATTTTTACTAGTATTTCCAAAATATGTAGATTCCCTGCAGCGCATGTGACGTTTCAGTGCTCAAAAGTAAAAATTTCATCGGTGCCGGCACCGGGATTTAGATTCAGGTTGCTTGAGTGTATTGAATTAAAAGCGAGCGCACGTACTCGTAACTGGCATTCCTTCACATCATAAAGGTACAAAAATTGTTGTTTAAACGGAACAAAAATTTTTGTGCTCCATAAACAGTCATTCCGAGTCTCCCGCGAGAACTCTAGACAGGTGTTATTTACTTGGTCCATCTTGAACCTCCTCTTTATTCTTAATCCTTTTCTCTTTACAAAAACAAATCGTAGATACTTGAAGTGCACATCTTGGGTAAGTGTTCTTATATTCGTATTAAACCTATAGTAAGTTAGTAAATAACCTAACAAAAGTTTCTATATAGGTAAATAAAATAAATAAATGCACATAGCTAAATGAAACTGCTGTACGTATTTAATTGCTTTTTATTACAGACTCTGTCCCGTATCCATAAACTGTACTCAAAATGTCGCTCAAAACAAGAATATAAAATCAAAATAAACCACGATAACATCCGTTAAAAGTTTCGTTCACGCTGAGTATTCGGATAAAAGAAAATCAATAAATTTTACGATTTAGTCTATAAAATAAAACATTAATATCATCAATGTCGATCTCCTTCCCTTCCTGAAATTCAAAAGCTTGCTCCGCGATTTCCAAATATAGGGGAAATTTATCCGACAGTTTACGGACACATGAATCTGTTTCATCAAGCTTATCCCCGAACACTTTGCAAAATCTCGTCAGGGAAAATTTCGCCGGAATTTCGCCCTATGTTTGCTGTAATCAACCAGCTGAATAAATATTTCAATGCTTCCGGATACACTGTCAATAAACTTATTCCGTGCGTATTTAATATAACAACTCGGCGAAAAATCAAACCGCATGAGATCAAAGAATTGGAGGTTCTGGATAAGAGAACAAAATGAACAGTAATTGTTTTTGGAGCAACGTAACGAGTTGATGCTGTAACGTCTGTTTGGAATGTATTTTTTCATCTTTTGAAACTCACGTAATCATCTCTTTTTACAGAAAATGGTAGCGTCATAATAAAGATGTTTTGTAAGTGATAAATTAAAGAGCCGTAAATTTATATAGATATATATTTATGTATGACATATTTTCATTGGTCGTTATGGCCACAGATTATGCATCACACGAAAAAGTAATACCAATATCTTGGTGATATATACAATATTTTACTCGTAAAATGAATATTGTTACAGTTTCATTATAAAATAAAATTTATTTATTGTTTAATTTTGAAAAACTAAGGGTGGATCAAGAAGAAGTTAATCGCATCTCACAAAAGTTAAAATGATGTTAAATATGAATGAGGAGACTGCGTTTATGCAAGTAAGTGGTATACGGTGGCAGAATCGTTACTGAGTTTTAATATGGCGCCGGCCACCTCAATCACCAGAGGAAAGGCGAAAGTCTAACACTTCCACTTCAAACAGGTCTTCAGTGAGACAATGGTACTCCCCAAATGAGCCTAAATCAGAGCAACAGCTGAAACTATTGCGTGGCTCTACCATAGAGAACTGGGCCAAGGTGAGGAAACGCCTTAAAACAACAAAAACAGGACTCTGGGTTCGTGGTTGATTGGGATGGAGATCCTGACACGAAATCATCTCAAGATGGAGAGCAGAGATGGAGCTGAGGGAGTAGTTAGTAATCATTAGGACCCCCTAATGATTACTAACTACTCCCTCAGCTTAAGCACCCGCTTAAGCGCAGTCCGGAGGAGCTAATGTACTCGTACGTTTCGAGAAGATTCCAGAACCCAAATGCAAGAACCCCACATAACCCGATGCAGGAATCTCCTCCCCTGGTCTTCCCCTCGAGGCAGGAAAAAAATATCTTTTTTTTTCTTTTTTTATGTGAAAAGTTGCCAAGCGAGCAGACGGTTTACCTGATGATAAGTGAATACCACCGCCCATGGACATCTGCTACACCCGAGAGTTCCAGATGCATTGACAACCTTTTGAAAATTGGGCTCCGGCCACCTCACTCACCAGACGAAACGCGAAAGTATTATACTTCCACTTTACCCCGGTCTTCTGTGAGGTCGTGGTACTAACCCGGACGAGCCAGCCTATTCGTGCAACAGCCGAGGCTGCTGCGTGGTTCTACCACCGCAATAATATGAAAAATCTTTTGAAGATTCCACCCTTGAAATCTTTAAATCGATAAATAGGATTAGATTATTTATTTAATATTTAAAAAATGAAAATAATATAAAAAATTTAAGTAGTAAAATATAAATCTTCACAAATCTCCGTACCTTGATTTTTTATCTGAGTATGTTTCGAATTATTGAAGTCTCAGATGGCGTTATCGTGAACAAACACAGAGCCGAGTGATTCAATAGAGTAATTTCACATATAACGTGCGATAATGATGTTCCACGGGCCCTCACCTCAAGACCGAAATAATTTCAAAGGGCAATTTCATACGTCGTTTGCTGCAGTACGTTCAACTCACGTGTTTACGACATCTTTTATGACTTTACCTTTTAAACATGCCAAGAAAATACTAAACATTGTCTTGTTATCAGTCACATTTTAGCTTCATTCAAGATACTACTTCCGGTAGTTGCAGCTTGCTTTATAAAATGGGTAATAAAACTAGAAAGGAAAGTACAGCCGCAAAAAAAAAAAACATCGTTACAAAGGTATACAGTATATAATACGATTATATAGCATACGAAAGTGAGACCCACTTGAGTTTCGTAATTAGGCAAGGCAAATGGGAACTACTTCATCTCATGATGATAGGTAAAGTAGCGGGGAAAAGGAAAGCCAGTAATGGTAATAATCTATGGTGAACATCAGAATAGAATCACTATTTCACTATACAAAAGATGCAGTCATTGTAAAGGCACTTTCAGAAGATATCAATAGTTATATTGATTCAATCATTGAGATTTTATTGTCTCGTAAACCGTTTATATTAATTCACGACGCTTAAGGAGGTAATAATAATGAACTGACTTAGATCAATCAGTAAAGAGGCTGTAAATTAATTTTGATGGCTCATTGTCATTCAGTCGCACTTAACAAAATAGCCGAGGTGGACGAATACGGATCACTGACCCCGAATGGATATTTATTCCTTTTATACATTATTCCTAATAGTTATGGGCAGATTTCTATATTTCATTCCTCCTCAGTAAATACTCGCACATTTTTTTCGTAATAAAAAGGGGCTTTATTGTCAAATCGAGCTTTTTCTATAAAGGTTCCATAAGAAGGTACTGAGACATACGGCACAGACATAGTAAGTAAAGTACGGAACTTGACGTAGTAAATTATTATAGATATTTTGATAATTAAGTAAATGAAAAAGTCGGCTTGTATCAAATTTAGTTGGCACTTTGTTGGCAAGTTGTAAAATATAAAGAGAGAATGAGACCATAGAATTTATAGCAGGTTTTTCTGTGGACATGTGTTCTAAATAAATGAACCAGTGGTAGTTTTTTGACATTCAATAAGAGCTTAAAAGAAGCCTGTATTGAATACAGAAACTTTGACTACGTCTCATTGGTCTAATGACTAAATGCATGCTGTAAAACGTACAAAACTTATCAAATAAATTATATGAAAACGTGTGAAAATACACTATACAATTTATTTATATGAATACTGGATGACTGTTTATGATTTAATCAATTATTTACAAAATAATTTTATCTCTCTTAGAGTTATCTATACAAAAAATATATGATGTACAAACCCTTGAAGCCATTTTATAAAAGGGCGTCCGATAAACCTGTTTTATATTGCCGTAACCAGTACAGTTCCCGGGGGTCAAGTAAAAATGTTAACGTCGAATTCCCTACAACAGTAATGTCACACTCGTAAATTTCACACAGTTTCCCGAAAAAAGGGCGAACAATTTAACGGATATTTCTGCGGCTTTTTATGTGAATTGTGTTGCGTTCTTACTTCATTTCTCAATGATGTAGCTAAGCTTTTTCAGTGTCTGGATTATTACTGCCGTACATACATCAAACTATATGCTGCAGATGATTTCTGAGCAAATAATAATAGTCTATCCCCCTTATCGGGCGCCCTTTTATAAAATGGCTTCAAGGGTTTGTACATCATATATTTGGGCAGGTTTCTTTCGGGTAAGTACCACGGCCTCACAGTGACCGGCGTGAAATGGAAGTGTTATACTTCTGCGTTTTGTCAGGTGAGTGAGGTAGCCGGGGGTCCAGTTTATTAAAAGATAGCAACGCATCTGCAGCCCGACAGGTGTTTGAAATTTCAATAGGTGGCGGTTATCAATTAACATCAGGTGAACCGCCAGATCACTTGCCACCTTCTCACATTAAAAAGAAAATAGACCCACGAAACAGATGCTACCGTTGCATTGATAGTCCGACTCGTCCGTAAAAGTGAAGTGAAAGTACCACTTCTAACCGAAGCCTACTTTAAAACACACATATATATTAAACATGTACGCTTATACATTATTAAATTTAACTATATATACGGATTTATCGAGTTTATTTTAATATTTATATCCCGATATTTCAAACCCCTTACTGTCTGTCCCGTGACCATGAACGCTGGTTCGCATGGAACGAAAGGGTTCGTAACGTCGAGAAATAAAATTAAAAAACAAACGCGATAAATCTGCAAAACATAGTTTAATTTAATAATAATCACATGACATCATGTTAATTGCTTCTTGGTTGACACTAAATTAATTGATTATTGATATAAGATTGATTGCATGAACCTGTACCCCCTTTCTTATCTCGTGTAACATCCTTACGAATCGTATACAAAAAAGTAATTTAAATTACTAAAACTTTCATGCATTATTAATCAACTAATTAAACGGCTGAAATCATAAGAGTGAGGATTAAAATGTTTTGATCGAACAATTTAAAATAATAACGGAGCGTATCGAAGTATATCAAGGTTTTAACTTCTCGCAAACCCTGAGCAAATTTAGTGGTGCCGGTCGGGAAGCGGATTCAGGGTTGTACGGGTACTACAAGCGTAAAAAACTTCGCATTGATTGACCAAGAAACGGCTGAACGAGTTCGGCAAATAAGACCGCACGTAACCAAATGCCTTGGAATATTTTTTTGTTTTATGGAAACGCTAAATTGATTCTTCTAATAAAGATTCAATTTATATACACCAGGAAGTCATGTTTTAACATTTCTAAAGTTCACACGAGGATGTTAGACATTTTAGAACAAATATTTTCAAAATGCATACAGTTTATTTAATTCCTGATGTATATGTATGTTCTCGCTTCACATCATACGCCAGAGTGGATTTTAAACATATCAAAACTATTTTAAGCATTCGTTACTGAACGAACAACATTAGTAAATTAAAAACCCATTTTAAAAAAGTGACACCACATAATAAACTTATCTTTATAATATATAAAAATTTCGTGTCACGATGTATGTTATCGATAAACTCGTTAAACTACTAAACCAATTTTTATCGAATTTTGTAAGCATTTGTAATTTGGTTAAACTTGGTCGATAGGGTAGTTTTTATCTCAATAATAGATTCAATATTTGTTATTGCAAATTATTTGTTTATTACAATGACAAAGAGCTATTTTTGAGTTCCATAAGATTCTAACAGATGGTGGTGTATGATAAATTTATCGGTTGGATTGAGTAAGTATCATTGGATACTAAAAGTAGAAACGTATGGACCCGGTAGAATTGGCGCAGACGAAGTTGCGCGGGCCAGCTAGTTACACTATAAATGAGTAAACGATTAGCACCAGAAAGACTTAAACTTTGACTCACCTGCAATTGCCAGTTGCATTATAAAGAAGTTCATTCTACTCTTCCTAGCATTCGTGCAGAGGAGTGCAGCGATCACCGACGCATTCAACACCACAATCAGAACGAACAGCACCCACATAACCGTAAACTGAATAGACTGAAACAAATAATAAATTCTCTCATTGAAATTTTCAAAATCACGAATCCTAATCTCTCCATATAATGTTTAATACTCCGGTCAAGCATTTACTTAACTATTGTTATATGAACACCTATCTGAGCTGTGCATATAACAATCCGTTAAAAATATAAAGGGTTGTTAAATATTTTGATTTTTTTATAATTATTATTGATCCGTATACCTTTATTAGGTTAAATATTTAAATAAAATGTCAAAAAAAAGCAAATGAAACAACTCTTTTTTATTGATTTTCATGTTAGATGATGAAAAGTGAGCTAGTGGTTCACCTGATGTTAAGTAATAACAACCGCCCATGTACATTTGCACCACCGGTACGTTTGTAGATGCCTGCCACCTTTGAATAAAGTGAGCCCCGGTTACCTTACTCACCAGACGAAACGTAGAAGTGTAACACTGAATCTTCACGCCTGTCTTCTGTGAGGTCGTGGTACTTCCCCGGACGGACTGGTCCATTCGTACTTATCCAGGTGAAACTGATATAGATTTTATAAGTAAAAAACCATTAGATAAATTAACCTGCGGCAATGATATAAACGTTGATGTCACCAAATCGAATGCAAGTCATAAATATTACGACTATTCAGTATCAATATCCAAATTTTATTGAAGTAACAGAAATCGTATGAGAACTACGTAATCTTGTAAAAATATCATTTCTCCCTCAAAAGGAATTTTCGCCGGAAATAATAACAAGATCTTTACAACATGTGGTCCACACTTGTAAAGTTTACTGAATCGTAACTGTCAATTCTTTCTAAATATATTGAACCACATCTGCTATTAGTATTCGTCCCTAGTACCAAACTGTACAGATTTGTTTAGGTATTTTCCCTCCATGTATCCCTCAGTGATAATCTTTATTGTATTGACAGAGTAGAGCTATAATTGGGTACCAAGCAATAATACATTGAATTTAAATGAAACTTTACCGTAATAATCTACAGTAAAATCATTGTTTCTTGAAATTATCTAAAATTAAAAAAAACGAGTCACACTCGTTGACAACATAATATTAAATAATCACAGAGGATGTGGTCTACCACTAACTAATTTGTGACAAAAAGCGTCTTTTGAGAAACACTGTGTATACGTCTCCCACGCGGGCCCCTCATAAAAAATAAGTTTTATTTTAATAATATTGGTACTTGTAAGTATTGAATAACACATATCGACATTACATTACTAATTATTAAGAAAGGTGATGTACTCATCAGTCAAGTAATACAAACAACGATTAGGTTCTTGGAAGAATTTATCGCAATCTTTTTCCCTTTCCATTAAATTTAAAGGAAAGGTTCAAGGTAAAACTTTTTACTTTTTTTGTCATTTTCATATGATTCTGACTTGATTACAAAAATGTTATTGATTTAATAAATTCTCTTAAATATACGGAAAAATTTTACCAAATGTAGAGTGTAAGGCGGCTTGAGGGAAGCATTTGGAAAGTAACAAATAAAATTTTCGGTCGGTTTTAGTAACAACTTTTGTGACCGCCCACGCACGACGGTAATCTGTGAGTATTGTGTCAGCACATATTGTACGGCAACAGTGGGTGTATTGATAACATGATCCATGTCGCCGCACGATAGCGGACTGCCACCGTCCATTACGCGATTAAATCCCTTCGCGTTTCACTACCGACTTAATCCACCTGAAAATGTTTTGGGCGTGACTGGATTGACTCGCTTTTACATGATTCGACCCGTTTTCAAGGGCTTGGCCAAACTAACATTTAACGCTTCGCCATTTACGATTTGCATGTTTGTGACATCCCTAATCGGATCGACTTACGTTTAATTAAAGTCGTGGTAAGTCGATTCGGAATCAGGAGAATGAGTGTGTTGCATTTCTAAAGACAAAATATGATTTCATAAGCTTTCTGGAATGTGCAAATTTAAAAGAATCTTTAGAAGATTTAGAATATTGTCAGCAATAAGACTATATACATATATATACTCACATCATAGAAGTAATATATATTCAAGCTCTGTCCGTTGACGTCTGTGATGTTGCTCCAAGTGCTACGGTTTTCGTAGGCCGGATATATAGTGGTAAAGGAAGACGTGCTCGGTGTGGTTTCTCGCTCCATCTCTTCAATTATCAGTTCGGGATCCATGATCTGGGACAAAGTTAAAAAAAAATGAATAACTCATGTTTTGAAACTAAGAGAAATACGAATAATTTTTAAGGTTCGGTACCCAAAGGGTAAAACGGGATCCTATTACTAAAACTCCGCAGTCTCTCTGTCTGTTTGTATGTCCGTCTGTCACTAGTCTATATCTCATGACCGTGATAGTTGGACAGTTGAAATTTCCCAGATGATGTATTTTATAGCCGCTACAACAACAAATACTAAAAAACAGAATAAACAAATATTTAAGGAGCGCATACAACAGACATGATTTTTTTGCCGTTTTTATGGTACGGAACCCTTCGTGCGCGAGTCCAACTCGCACTTGATGCGTGGCCGATTTTTTATATGAAATCCTTACTAATATTATAAAGGCGAAAGTTTGTATGTATGGATGGATGTTTGTTACTCTTTACAATAAAAACTTAACAATAATATAGCTTAGAAATCAGAATGAGACATAGGCTATAATTTATATACATATTTTATGTATATTTATTCTTTATATATGTCTTTCTGTATGAATGTTACGCCTTCAGCCTATTTTACGCAGACGTAGTCGCGGGCAGCAGCTAATGTCAAATAAAAAAACAGCCGAAATGACTGTGTGGAATAGTGAATAGTTTTCGTGTTAAACTATCACAGACATAAAAGTTTTGCACGCCATTCGCGTTACTGTGCCTTCACATTTTATTAAAGTTGAATAGGCTGCGATTGGCAAAAGATAAATTAAATTTGGCCAGTCACAGCAGGAACAGAAAAGTTTGAAACTGGATTTATGAAAGTTACTAGAAATTTTTTTTACTATGCAGTGCATAGTTACATTTTTAGAAATGTTTTAAAATAATAATAATTAATGTGTTTCTTAACCTCCGATGACTATGTGGCGCAGTCGTCAAGCTATCGGCTTCGGCGTCGGGGGTCATGGGTTCGAAAACAATCATAGAGCCGTGATAGTTCAGTGTCCGGGCGCTCGCCTTTAATTCAATACACTCTAGCAACCTGAGTTCGATCCCCGGTACCGGCATCAATGAAATATTCGAAGATATGTGAAGTCTGCCAATCAAGTGGACTATGCCCTGAACTAGAGGGCTATGCCCTCTGTATAGAGGAGGCCTTTGCCCAGCCGTGGGAAGAATATAGGCATCAGCCTATAATTAATATTAGGTCTATAATTAATAATAAATCGTTGTAGAATATAAGTAAAGTATCAAAAAGTTGATACTTTACTTTGCTTATATTCTACAACGATTTAATATTAATTATAGACCTAAATAATAAAAATGTATTTACTTTCTCTCTTGTTCTATATTTACTCCTCTGCTTTTCTCGTTTATTATGGCGATAAATAAACATGTTCCTAAATTATCTATTTAAAACTGTTATTTATATTACCTCACTTACTCATAACCTTTACTTGTTTTTAGTCCAAACAAATTGTTTAGTTAATCCGTTATTCCGTTCATTATTTCCGCTCGATAATCCGTAGATTCAAAGAATCAAATGTTTCATCACTAACTTTCAGCTGATTCTTACTGTCATTTTAATTAATCCTGTATTTTATCGAACAATAATACTAAAATCTTAACCTCCGTTCAAAAATACATTGCGAGTGTTTTTATGTATATGTGTTATTTATTTTAATTAAATATATCGTAAATATATTAATATATTATACCGATAGGTATTTACGGACCACGACAACAAAAATCAGATCAAAAATCTTATTCAGGACATTTTTAATACTCGCCCGCCTCCTTTCGCCCCCTTGCTAATTTGTGTGTCACTTTAGCGACCATTACAGAGATTGACGAAGGTAAGAGTGATTTCAGTATCGAATTACTCTCAAACAAAGGTCTGACACTTATCTAAATTTAGAAAGTTCGCAGCGAGGTAAATAAACAATATTAAAAGCAAGCGCATTAAATTCTTAATTTTAACATCTATTTAAAAAAATATCTGACAAGCCTTTTGAAGTTAATGGGGTTGAAGGAGGAATAGTATTAAGGCTTTCAATGACCTTATTTAGTCCCGAGTGACAGCTCGTGTCCCAAGTGACAGATGCACTCTCTGTCATAAACGGTCACATTTTGACATTGTCTTGTCAAATGTGACGGTGGCACTGTTGGTGACTGCTGCCCATAATATCAGAGTTTCGACATCTCAGCGATCAGGTGTTCAATTCTTTGAAACACCTTTAGGCATAAAAAAAAATTCGTGATGGAAGGTGTCATTGAAATTTAATTTTCAGTTTCAATCAATAAACCCGACTTGTGTATAAACGAATTCGATATTCAAAACTTTTGAATCATTTATTCTTTGACAGTTCTTAGTGATCAATCCAAAGTATTAAATCGTGTGACGTGAACGAACTTAAGTTATTGCTGAAAGGTTCTGTAAAAAGCTTACTTAGGAGATGTAACAAGGACGCGACATTAGAAAACAGTGAGACAGTGTGATATGACATAGTTAATAAAATTTCTGTGAACATAATATTGTATTTAGCAAGGAACATTATAATATTTTTTTATTTGGCTTACTATATCGTTACACATTTTGTGTGTTTTACTTTGTCAAATCGATATCACAATTGCCATATGTTTTAGTTAATGTTTAGGAAACGGTTCTTAAAACGTAGCGGAGAAATGTTACAGTATAAAATCACAGAAATATCATTACATACGTACTACTTTTTATGTGAAAAAGTGGTAACCGAGCTGGCGGTTTACCTGGTGTTGAGTGATAACCACCACCCATGGACATTTGCAGCACTCGTAGCGTTGCTGATGCGTTGCCACCTATTAATAAAGTAAGCCGCGGCTACCTCACTCACCAGACGAAACGAAGAAGTATAACACTTCCAATTCACGGCGGTCTTCTGTGAGATCGTGGTACTTACGCGAACGGACCTGCCCACAGTTAAGAGTGTGAGTTTTTGCAATGACTGGTTCATACCGACAAAAAGAGGAGGAGTGAAGGGCATTTTATCAGCTACGGGGTATTAAAAATAATAATTGCGAATAAAAAAATATTTTCTGTGTCAAAAAGTCATACACGTGGGATTCTCGTTTCGAAATCAAATATCGTCAACATTTTTATTAATGAATTTCACAAAAGTCAGTGTCATGATCCATTTTCGCACATAGCTTTGGTCGCCATTTTTAAATAAAGTTTTCGTGCACTGTCATATAAATAGAGCGTATGGCGAAATTATTACGGAAATTATTTTTCTTTTGCCACATGACATGAACGGAGCATAGCCGAAAGAGTGCGAATGAAGGATGGGAAACTAAAACTCTCGCAAGCTTTGGCACACTCTTTAAAATATATATTTTCAAATATTTCTTAGATATTCGTGCTTGCAAATTATGGTTTCCTTTACCGAGTTTAAATATACAACTGACAATTTTATTGATTTCGGCATTTTATCTAAACATGTGTTGCTAGTTTGAGTAAACACAGTATCGGATCTCAGAATTTTTTTAAATCATATTATATAGTTTTTACAGAGTGGTATATGAAACGGGTTTGCGGTCTGAGAAATGGGCTGTAACTCGAACTGATATAAATTGGTTTGACCCGAAATTTCGCTATGAGGTTTGAAACACAACTTTATAAGCGGTATACAGTAGTACCTAAAATTTTGCAATATTTTGTATTCAATTAAACTGTTTTCTAGTATAATGATTTAAATTAATTTGGACACAAAACTTTTTTAGGATTCCGTACCCAAACGATAAAACGGGATAGAAGATTCCACTGTCTGTCTGCCTGATCGTCTGTCACCAGGGTCATGAACCATAATAGATAAACATCAAAAATAGGAGCCTATCCTATCTCGAACTGGCTAGTCGGATCAACGATGTCAAATTAAACATAAGTGTAACAAATTATGGTAAAAAGACACCGAGGCTACAATATGAAGATTCAGTATTTAACAATATGAAAAATCAAGACCTTAGGAGAGAATTATTTGAATTATTGAAAATTTTGTTTTCAATTTCAATCGATCTTTCATATTGAGGATTATGATTCAGTTATTTCTTAAATGATTTTTGTGTGGGTTTTTGTTTATGGACGTTCATTTTCGTTTCGTTACACGAAAAACTGGGTTTACATGCTCCGTACGGTATAATTTTAGCTAAAAGCTTTGTTTTGAAGTCAAGATGACAAAACACAATAGTAAACAAACATAATGCTATGAATCGTGTAATTGAAAACAAGATCGTATTAGGTAATGACAAGTTGTTTTCAAGTTGTTTTACTTCTATGGAAAGAAACAATATTTTTTTTTNGATGACTCCGTGGTGCAGTTATCGAGGTATTGGCTTCAGCGTTCAGTTGCCAAAGTCGTGGGTTCGATCCCTACACCGGAGAACTATTTGTGTGACCCACATATAATTTCGCATCTGGGTGTTTGTCTAAGTGAAATTTATGTTTCTGATACATTCTTACAACAGAGGATAAGGTTAGGCTAAAGTAAGGTTTACCCTAAAGGTGTAAAAAGGTTTAAAAAAAATATAAATGACAATCTATCTTTTCGGACGAAAATACTAGTTCTACATAAAAAAAAACACTACTAAGAAACGTATGAAGACCTTATTGCAATGCATATTTACTTATATATTAATTACTGTGACGGTGAAAACTATTAAAAGTAATGGAACTATTTTTAATCCTTTAATAATTTTGCTAAGTTTTATTAAGTTTCTTTAACAAATAAGTTTAAATTACTACTTCCCGATGATTCCATCAAAAACTCTTGATTTTGAAAAGTTAAGTTTGCTACTTAAACATAAGACGATGCAATAGTTAACTTCTTCTACGTCTTAAGTAATAAGTACATTATTGGAAATCTTTCTGCTCAATAGTTGGTTTTTGAACCGTTTTTTTGTAAGTCGAACACGGTTTGAAACAAGTCCACTTAAAGTTTGTCCGCCTTTTTATGTTATATAGATAGTTATATCTACGTTTTTAAATACATT